TGGAAAGCCGGTGATTATGGAAACTGTCCGATCTGATAGAGATGTATTTGCTCTGTCATGCCCACAGCAAATGTCCGAGGAATTCCATACGAGGTAAGCCTTTGTTTCCCCAGTGTTCCTTGTTCGCTTCATCAATTGGTCTAATCATTTATTGGTATTTGCATTTTGTACAAGGCAAACCTTCAAGGCAAACTAGTACTCGCAAAAGGCAATCACCGCTGGGGAAAAGCCTCCCAGCAACATGCAGCTGTGTGTAAGCAAGAGTACATGAAAACCAGAGTGTGCAGCTCGGATGGGTTGCTGTCACGGCGAAATTCCGTGATTACATCATTTTTGTGATGTAGTGCGTTCAAGCAGGTCTCTTTCTGCACAACTGCAGCTCAGTTGTACGCACTACGCCATTTCCCGCCTCAGATCTGCGCCAAATATGATGTAATCACGGAATTCCGCCGTGACAGACACCCATAGCAGAAAAGGCCCCAAGCTGCACACTCTGGTTTTCATACACTTTTGGTGTATACGATATTTCACATATTTGATATTCCTTCTTTAACGTACCGTTAAATCGCGGATAAAAGCCGGGCTTATAAGCATAAAAGCCGCTTTCTGCATCAGGCTTTAATGCAAACCAGGCTTGTATGCAAACCATGCTTATATGCACCACTGATATTTTTGCCAGGCTTGTATGCCAGGCTCCTACGCGCAACACGCGTAGATCTACCGCTGACTACCGGTATGGCGGCAGTTTTACTACGCACTGTACATAGCGCGTGCACTCTTGACCTACCCGATCCACGCTTGCATAGAAGCCAGGCTTCTACGCGCGACAGGCATATTATGCATTTGACCCGTTTGATTTTCAGGCTTCTATCCGCGATGTGCTTGTATGCAAACCCGGCTTTTATCCGCGACTTTGCGGTATGTCTTCATCGATGAGACCTGTTGGGTCCCAACAGCGGTCTGAAGGATCAGTATATTGGACTTGTTCTGTTGCTGGTTGGGAACGTGGCCAGCTGGAGAGAGAGCATGCAGTGGTGGTGGAGTGTAACCTCATGTGTACTTCATCCTTGTGGAAAAGATGCGAAAGGAACTATTATAAATGGCGAAAAAGCAGAATGAAAGGGCGAAGAAGAAGAAGAAGAAGAAGAAGAAAGAAGGCACCACAAAGAAAGTGAATCGCTGTGGTCACTAAGTTATTAGCCTAGTTCTTATGTAAGGAATCTAGAGTGAGCATTTAGTCATGTGAATAATGCATACACATGCAAGTCAGGGAAAGAAAGGAATGTCGAAAACAAATCTAGAGCGCAAAATGAATACAGGAAAGTTCGAATCAATTTGAAATCAGATTGTCCACTGCACTTAGAATGCCAGCACCTTTCTGGCAGCCATTGTGCTATGCATGCTTAGCTTAGAATCTCATACTGAGCTATGGGTTAGGCTGACTTGTTTACTGATTCAATCAACTACGAAAGCCAGAAAACTGAAATGCTACAAGAATACTATAGTACAATGCAGCTGGTTATTTAGGTACGCAAATTTAGTCCATTGTAATGCTTGTGACGCGGCGGGGAAGAGAAAGGAAAATACAACCGCGAGCACCACATTGCTAGAATTAGCTGAGCTAGTGACTGAGTTTCTGGTTTCTGTTTATATTCTTGGCTGGAAGGAAGCAAATCAGCACACGAACCACAGAAGCCATTATAGTTTCGACTAGGCCTTTCGTGCCATTACTTTTCAAGCCGAATACAATGGTGATTAACATGGTAGCAAGCAAGTCGTTATAGTCGAAACTATAATGGCTGCTGTGCTTCGTCTGCTGGTTTTTGTTTATGTCTGTGCAGATTCACTGGGCACTGTGGAAAAGCTGCACCCAGTCAAGAACAAGTCACCAGTGACATGTGGAAACTGGCTGGTCGGTGAGTAGATGTAGTCTGACTGAGTGCCAGTGTCCGTGTGAGGTACTGTCGTTGTGCGTTTCAGCCATGCACCGCATGATCTCGTTCTGACGTCCACGTACGTGTATGACTACACGGTGTTTAGTGAGTGGCACCGGGTGCACGCTCTGTGTAGTTACTTTAATCCCGGTCAATGTCACAGGTCTTCTGGTGAAATGTTGATCCTGCTCGGATGCCTCTGTACTTCCTGTAGCAAACTCCTGAGCTAGGGTGCCAATACTTAGTTATTTACAAGACAAACGACATATCAACAGATAGTGCAAGTGAAGTAAGAAGCCAGGAGAAAGAAGTGCCGAGAGAAGAGCTGCAACAAGCGACATGAGCCCGAGCATCCCAGCTCCGGTCCCTGTTTAGTTCATGGGGGGTTCATGCAGAGGTGTGAAAGACAATGAACACGGTGTAATGGATATGGTGCAAGCAATACACAGAGTGCCCATGCAATCACATGCGAGTCCAGACACAGCATGGCCGGAGGGGCGAACGTGTGCTAGTTCAGACTGGGTTGGTGACAGAAAGGGGGAAGGCATACAACCGGTCATAGATCTACTCAGCATGAATGTCATGATACATAATATATCATTACACTACATCTCCCCCACCAAGGAGGGAGAGCTACTGACGTCAGCGTCAGAGTCACAAGTCCAGGCGGTCAGGTGGTCGCACGGCACGGCCTGAGCGGGTGGCGCCGACGTCGCTTGTGGCAGCGTCGTCAGGTGCACCTGGTGTCGCCACAGCAGGGTGGCGCTCAACTGGGGCAGCCGGATTGCATGGCGCTGGAATCGGTAGGACGGGGCCATCATCTGGGATCTGTTGCGGCAGAGGGCGTCAGTTGCGGACGTTGCGACGCAGGACGGAGCCGGCTGATGTGACGAGGAAGGAGCGCTCACTCAAGTGTTCCTTCACAGTGCCTTCACGGGCGAGATCTATCACCCACACCCGATCGCCAGGTCTGAGTGGGGGTGGTGCGCGAGCGGCATGATGGTCATCAAACATTTCTGCCTGGGCGGATTTCCGGTCCACCTCCCGTCGTCGGAACTCGAGGAGGTCGGGCCACTCAGGCGCCAGAGCTGATTCAGGTAGTGGCAGACTAAACTGGATCCTGCGGCCCATCAGGAGCTGTGCGGGGCTAGAGCCACTCTGGAGGGGCGTGGAGCGGTACACCAGCAGTGTGCTAGGGAGATCCGGGTCTTTCCGCAGCATCTCTTTGATGGTACGAACGGCTCTCTCTCTCTGACATGCCATTGCTCTGGGGTACCGTGGAGAGGAGGTTCGGTGCTGAACTGAGTGGCGAGCGAGGAAGAGAGCGAACTCTTCACTGGCGAATTGGGGCCCGTTGTCGGACATCAGTACTTCTGGGATGCCATAGCGAGCGAAGTGCAGGGATAGGGCAGCTATTACTGCACTGGATGTGGTAGACCTGAGCTGATCCACTTCAATGAATCGGGAGAAGTAGTCCACCGTTAGTAGATAATCGTGACCCTCGAGATTAAACAGGTCGACTGCGAGTCGCTGCCAGGGTCGTTCTGGAAGAGCCTGTGGCAGGAGCGGTGCAGCAGGCACGAGACGCTCTTTGCTGCAGGCTTCGCAGGTCTGAACAACGTCAGCAATCTGGGAGTCGAGGCCAGGCCACCACACTGCCGTTCGAGCTCGGGCGCGGCACTTGGTCACCCCTGATGACCGTCATGGATGATGCGGAGCACCTCAGGCTGCATGTCTCGGGGGATGACGATGCAGGTGTTAAATACACAATGCCATTGGCCACCGGCAGGAAAGAATGAACTGGGTAGAATGGCAGCAGTGCAGGCAGAACGTTGCGGGCCCGCTCTGGCCAGCCGCTGAGGGTCCGCTGTGCGACGTCGGACAAGGCGGGGTCTTTTGCTACCGCTGCCTTGATGCGGTCCCGGAAAGTAGGAGAGGCACACTCAGCAGACACGGACGCTACCTGGATATCGATGTCATCGAGCAAGTCTTGCATACTGCGTCGAGGGTCTGCAGCACCGGATGGGGAGCGAGACAGGGCGTCGGGCACGACAAGACGTGGACATAGGTTGCGGTGACGCTGAACTGAAGGAGGCGCATCAGCATCCGTTGACAGCGGAGTGGGGCATTGTCCAGGTCTCGTGAGTTGATGAGAGGGATCAACGGTTTGTGATCTTTGTGAACTTCAAATGGCAGGCCACCCCGGATGTACTGCTGGAAATGGTCGCAGGCCCAAGTGACGGCGAGAAGCTCCTTCTGGATTTGAGCATAGCGCTGTTGCGTCTCGTTGAGAGATTTGGAGGCGAATGCGATGGGGCGGAGGTCGTCTCCGTGACGCTGCCAGAGTGCAGCACCAAGACCATGGCTGCTTGCATCTGCGCTGATGACTACAGGCTGAGACGGGTCAAAGAATGTCAGGTCGCTTGCGATAGCTGCGAGATCTTTCATCTTGGCGAACGCGTCCCGTTGGGCTGCGTCCCAGCACCACACAGTGTTGTGGCGCAGCAGAGCTCGGAGTGGTGTGGAGACAGTTGCAAGGTCTGGCAGAAACTTGCCGACGTAGTTGAACAGGCTGAGGACCCGTCGCAGACTTGGCACATCAGTTGGCTCAGCGAGGTCCAACAGAGCCGAAATGCGGTCCGGGTCGGGGCACACACCATTGTTGCTAATGCTATGCCCGAGGAACTTGAGGGATGCCCGGCCAACTTGGCTCTTGTCCGGGTTTAGAGTGACGTTGGCCTGGGCGAGAGCTTGATAGACGGCAGCCAGGGCTTTGTCGAGAGCCTCCTGGGTGGGTCCAAAGATCAACATGTTGTCCATGAATACCACCACCCCTGGGATGCCATCCAGGATACCCATCAGTTTGCGCTGCAAGATCTCCGGTGCTGATGAAATCCCAAAGGGCAAGTGTCGGAACTTGTACCTGCCAAGCGGGGTGATGAAGGTGGTGAGATGTTGAGACTCGTCGGCGAGCCGAGCCTGCCAGAAACCCTTCTTGGTGTCCAGAGTAGAGAACACTGTCGCTCCGGACAGCTTGGCCAGGGTTTCCTCAACAGTTGGGAGGACAAACGTCTCACGCTGGACGGCTATGTTCAGCTTCTTTAGATCAACGCAAATGCGGACGTCGCCGTTCTTCTTCCGCACTGCCACCATTGGAGCGCACCACTCAGTCGGCTCTGTGACAGGCGTGATAATCTCAGAATCCACCATGCTGGTCAGTTCTTTCTTGACTTTCTGCAGAAGCGGAAATGGCACACGTCGAGCCACAGGGCAGTGGTAGGGCCAGGCATCGGGTGTGAGTCGTATCGACACTGGTGGTCCCGTCGTGCAGCCAAGCGGTGATGCCGGCACGGTGGAGATATTGTGGATACCTGGTTGTACAAACCCTATGCGAAAGGACGTAGAGTGGCTAAGTAGGTTGGCGCCCTGGCCTCGCAGCACAAACACCTCGTGCTCAAAGCTGGTGCCATCTCGTGCCCTACTGCGAACGAAGAAAGAGCCGTCCAGGAGCAGGGGTGTGCCATCCGGCCCATGGAGTGCCGACGTTGGCCGTGAAAGAGCAGGCTTGGGTGACAGTATGCGATATGTGTCGGCCGTTATCACTGAGGCATCAGCTCCCGTGTCGACCTTGAAGGTACAAGTGTATCCCCAATGTGTACGACGCGGAGCCAAGGGCCCTCACTGCATTGTTGTCCTCCAGCAACACCACCCATGAACAGACTGCTGCGCACCTCCTCTGGGATGGCTGGCAGCTGGGCCGTGTCCACGGAATGGGCTGACTGCTTAGATGAATGGGCTGACGGCTTAGACGAATGGGATGATCCATTTGGTTTGCTCAAACAAACCCTGCTATAGTGGCCAACTTTATGACAAGCAGAACATTCTTCCTGGCGTGCTGGGCACTGGCTACGTGGGTGTGAAGGATTGGACCAGCACCAGCGACATGGGTAGCCAGAAGAGCCTGACGTGGATTGGACGGCAGCTGCTGTCGGCAATGAAGTAGCAGCCATTGGTTCCAACGGTCGGCGCTGGCTCGCGATCTGTAGCCTCACCTGCTCATAGTTGCATACGTGCTTCGCTGCTTTTGCGAGGTCTGGCTTTTCCAAGAGCTGCAGTTCCAAAGACAGTTTCGAGTCGATCAGGTTAGCCATGAATCTGTCTCGGATTCGTTCGTCGCGAGCGCCCTCAAACGCACATTTATCCGCGATCCGGTGGAGTCGTCTCAGGTACTCATCCACCGATTCAGAGGCCTTCTGGACTGCGCGCTCAACCATTGCTCTCTCATGAACAACGTTGGACACAGGTCGAAAGTGACCCGACAATTTTTCCACGACCTTGTCATACTTTTCCGAGTCTCCGTTGGCATCGAAGATAAGCTGTTTGACCACCGTGTTTGCTTGATGTCCCATACCGTAGAGCAGAGTTACAATTTGGACATCGTCGTCGTCTTTATGAAGTTTTGTCAGTTTGCGGTACTGCTGGAATCTTTCCAGCCACTCGGGCCAAGCTGAGAGGTCAGAGAAATCAAAATTGGATGGTGGCTGAAATCGGGCCGCCATGGTTCACTGAGAGGTCTCCGTAGCTACTGGAGATCCTGTTCACTGCGCCATGTAGCAAACTCCTGAGCTAGGGTTGCCAATACAGTAAAACCTGTGACTAACGACCACCCATAGGGGCCAGAGAAAGCGGTCTTCAGTGGCAGGTGGTCCTTAGTTAGAGGTTTGCACCACACAACCATATGAATGTGAGACCGTCTGTGCCTGGCAAAGTGGTCTCTAGTACCAGGCTGGTCTTTAGTTACAGGTTTTACTGTACTTAGTTATTTACAAGACAAACGACATACCAACATATAGTGCAAGTGAAGTAAGAAGCCAGGAGAAAGAAGTGCCGAGAGAAGAGCTGCAACAAGCAACATGAGCCCGAGCATTCCAGCCCCTGTCCGTGTATGGAAGGATGGAAGATGTGTAGAAAGCGTGCAAGGGGAGCCCCGACAGGCATGCCAAGAGCGTGTAAACATGGTGCACATAAGTCAAAGGCAGCACTCATGTACAGTTCATGTGGGGGTTCATGCAGAGGTGTGAAAGACAATGAATACGGTGTAATGGATATAGTGCAAGCAATACACAGAGTGCCCATGCGATCACACGCGAGTCTAGACACAGCATAGCCTGAGGGGCGAACGTGTGCTAGTTCAGACTGGGTTGGTGACAAAAAAAGGGGGAATACAACCGCTCATAGATCTACTCAGCATGAATGTCATGATACATAATTACACTACACTTACATTGTACGTGTACCATATTTACTGGTTGTAACTTGTAAGTCAAACCCCCCTCCCCCCGTACTTGGGGACCGGATTTCCTGGTTCAATGGCAGTTAACCCTAGTTGTAAGTAGAATACCCCTATTCTTGTTTGATTTGAGGTCGCAACAGGCAGGGGCGTCGGACACGGTACGGTCACTACGGTATTGACCGTACCACTATTTGCCCCAAGTACCCTGTGAATCAATATAATGCACTGATTTGGGCTCTAAATTTCCAAAATTTTCCGCTCAGCCACCACTCCCCCCCCCCCCCCACGAGTAAATTGTACTTCAGATGGCTGACCGTACCACACTAAAGTACCTTCCGATGCCCCTGACAGGTCAACTTATAACTGGTAAAATATGGCATGTATGTTTCTCAGGTGGCTGTTGTTAATCTTGTCATTGGGCTGGATTTGTCCATTTCAAGTCATAGTATTGATCCGTTGTTTGTTGTGTATATCTCTGTCCATCTATCGTTTTTTGTGTGAAGGGCTCCATCAGTATTGTGCCAAAGGGAGTTAATGGATGTGTACTGCGCCTACAAGTACAATGCATCCGGTGGCTGCTATCCACGGTCCTTTCTGGTGGCCGAGTCGTCATCCAGAGATACTGCTGATCCAGCCGCAAGAAACAAACTGACTCAGGTATTTCTATGTATGTGTGTATTTTCATGTGCGTGCATGTGCATGCGTGCGCCCTCGCTTGAGTGGGAAGAAGGGGTGGGGAATAGTTACAGGTTTATGCATGTAGGATGCACATGTATGGATAGGGACATATCATTGCAGGAATGACTGGTGTTTGAATCCCACAGATACAGTTTGCAACGTTTGGCTGTTTCCGATCAGGTACAAGCACTACAGCGATGCATGAATGGTATGCACTGGATTCCTTTTTTTCTGTTCTGCTATTTAGACACGTCAGTCATCATCAATGCTGTTCAGAAGCCTTCCAGCTGAAAGACCTCGAGTCACCGGGGACAGTCTACGTTCAGAAGGTACTGCACTCACACATTTACCCCTTTCCATGCCAGCCCCGTGTTCCCTTTTAGCTTGAAAAGTAACTATTTCACACGAAGAGGACCAAAATGCATCAGAATATGAAATTGGTTGGCATATGGCTCTCAAAACCTAAGTTATGGTAATCCGCAGTAGTAGTTGTTGTAGACTTGTCCTTGTAGTGAGCACTACAGTGCGTTTCAAAAATATAGACGTGTGATTTCGAAAAACCGTTAGGCCAGCATCTATACGACATTAACGCACTCTCCACATACAGGCATGCACCCAGCTCAGAACACATTGTTTTCTGGTTGGCATATCAGGGATATTGGGCGGAGCAGCTGGCGTGCATGAGAAAGACAGGTCGGCCTGCTCTGCGCAGGAGCTGTGACCCGGTGCACACATAGTGTGTGAGAGAGAGAGAGACAGACAGGTCGGCCTGCTCTGCGCAGGAGCTGTGACCTGGAGCACACGGAGTGTGAACGAGAGACGGTCGGCCTGCCGTGGGCAGGAGCTGCGACCGTTAACAGGGCTTAGCGCACACGCTAAACCACCATAAAATCTGTGATCACTTTGCGCATAAAAATTTGGAAATTGGGTGTTTGCTATCCGATCGCTTAAAAATCTATACGAGAGTAATTGGAGGAAGGACCTGAGCAATAGTCCGAAAAAAATTCTCGAAAAGCTCCAGCCAAATTTGAAATATTTCAAAAATACCATTCGTCTATATTTTTGAAAATGGACTGTAGGCAAAGTGAAGATCTCATCGTACAACTTGCTTGATGCACACCTGCGATATGTATTATACAACCATTAATTTTATCTTCTTCTGCGCGCGATTCTTCTCGGCAGCACTGGGCAGAGGCATTCTGGAGTGCTTCTTCCTTGAAATGCAAGCCAATCTTGACAAACCATTTTAGCGTCTCTCTCAGGGCAGAGCCGCCGCTGGGTGCCATCGCATCATTATCATCTACTCCGCCTATCTGGGAATTATACTCATGGTTCACCTGTAGACGTTTGCATGCGCCGGCCATGGTGGTTGCATTTGTTTGTACGGATGATATCAGCACTGTGAATGGTGGACGACAAATGCACGATCTTCTTGTCATGCAACTCATGTAGCTTCACCAACTGAGTGGTTCCTTTCCTGCGTAGAGCATGTGTGCCCTTGAGTGTCACGGAATCCTTCAACCTGCGGGATGCCTCGCTGGTTCAGACGCATGGCGCTGCAGAAGCCGGTGGTTTTGGGTTCCAGGTAAGCGGCGAGATCGAGGAAGGTGTACCAGTTGTTGACGTATAGGAGGTAGCCTTTGTTGAGCAGCGTCTGCATCAGGTCAATATCAATGGTTCCGGTTGCTCCAAGTGTGTCGGTTAGAGGAAGAGGAGGATCTTGGTGACCTGTGTATACATGCGCTTTGTAGAAGTAGCCTGATGTGTCACATCGTGCAAAGATCTTCAATCCCAATCCTGAGTCCGCGAGCACCTACATCACGCGAGCAGCCCAATTTGATCCACACGTGTTCCATCTACTGGATACCTATCCTGGCATTGTGTGGAGATTACAGCTAGTCTGGATACCTATCCTGGCATTGTGTGGAGATTAGAGCTAGTCTGGATACCTATCCTGGCATTGTGTGGAGATTACAGCTAGTCTGGATACCTATCCTGGCATTGTGTGGAGATTACAGCTAGTCTGGATACCTATCCTGGCATTGTGTGGAGATTACAGCTAGTCTGGATACCTATGCTGGCATTGTGTGGAGATTAGAGCTAGTCTGGATACCTATCCTGGCATTGTGTGGAGATTACAGCTAGTCTGGATACCTATCCTGGCATTGTGTGGAGATTACAGCTAGTCTGGATACCTATCCTGGCATTGTGTGGAGATTACAGCTAGTCTGGATACCTATCCTGGCATTGTGTGGAGATTACAGCTAGTCTGGATACCTATCCTGGCATTGTGTGGAGATTACAGCTAGTCTAGATACCTATCCTGGCATTGTGTGGAGATTACAGCTAGTCTGGATACCTATCCTGGCATTGTGTGGAGATTACAGCTAGTCTGGATACCTATCCTGGCATTGTGTGGAGATTACAGCTAGTCTCGTCAGGCGAAATAGCACGTCATCGTACATTTGAGATCAGCGGGAAGAAGATGACGACGTCCACTAATTTAGTATCTGTGCACACGAATCTGCTGTGTGTGTGACTCTATGTGTCAGCTATGATATCATCTTCTGTGGTTCCATGCCTAGCATGTACGTCTGAACCATCCTGCAAAGTTTGAATGACGTAGGTTGAGCGATCGCTCCGCGAAATATACTTTTTGAAATTCTCTTCATAGTATATCTTCCACCATTGAAATTTCGAATTTCTTCAAAAAAAGTGCTGAGAGGGGTGGCTTGCAACCTCGATATGGCTTGTTCCAGGCATGCTTTGGAGCCATCTTCTGTTGAAGTAGTGGCGGGGATCTGCCCTGCAACTGCTACAACAAAAAATGATTCGATCTGAGAAAGGGTGAGACCGCGAATCTCGGTTGAATATTGAGTATTTCAAGCCTTTTCACGACGAAGATGGAGTTCTTTTTGGAGATGGACGTCGCGGCAAAGGACATGGTGTCCGACGTCTGTCGTCTGGTGAAGCCAGGGATGATTTGTCCAGTCAGGTCGGCAGCCTAACCGTCGGTAAGCTTGTGTTTGGATCCCGTTCTGCTCGATGTGGTAGATCACAAACAATTTGATATCGCACAAATTGATCTCAGCATCGTGCGTACGGTATTTTATATTCAGAAAATCCCAAAGTGTCTCTGTGTGGGCGTCCTACGCCACGAGAAACTCCAATCAGGCTCCTATGTCCTCTGCCTTCATGATTGAATGTCCACTTCGTTTGAACAACGAACACAACAATCGAGGACGGCTTTGCAATGAAAAATACAGCTATACTGGAGCTGAAAAAAAGAAGAAAAAAACGTGCTCAGGATGAGACTCGAGTACACGCATACTCTCCCAGCAGGTGAAACGCAAATTTTTGTGAAAAATGCGTGACGCCGACTGACCAGTAATTTCGCCTGACGGGATACCTATGCTGGCATTGTGTGGAGATTAGAGCTAGTCTGGATACCTATCCTGGCATTGTGTGGAGATTACAGCTAGTCTGGATACCTATCCTGGCATTGTGTGGAGATTACAGCTAGTCTGGATACCTATCCTGGCATTGTGGGGAGATTACAGCTAGTCTGGATACCTATCCTGGCATTGTGTGGAGATTACAGCTAGTCTGGATACCTATCCTGGCATTGTGTGGAGATTACAGCTAGTCTGGATACCTATCCTGGCATTGTGTGGAGATTACAGCTAGTCTGGATACCTATCCTGGCATTGTGTGGAGATTACAGCTAGTCTGGATACCTATCCTGGCATTGTGTGGAGATTACAGCTAGTCTGGATACCTATCCTGGCATTGTGTGGAGATTACAGCTAGTCTGGATACCTATCCTGGCATTGTGTGGAGATTACAGCTAGTCTGGATACCTATCCTGGCATTGTGTGGAGATTACAGCTAGTCTGGATACCTATCCTGGCATTGTGTGGAGATTACAGCTAGTCTGGATACCTATCCTGGCATTGTGTGGAGATTACAGCTAGTCTGGATACCTATCCTGGCATTGTGTGGAGATTACAGCTAGTCTGGATACCTATCCTGGCATTGTGTGGAGATTACAGCTAGTCTGGATACCTATCCTGGCATTGTGTGGAGATTACAGCTCGTCGACCAGGGCATGTTGATACTCTTCGACTTGCCATACATTTTAAAAAACTGCATACACACGTCCTTGGCCAATCGGGACATTAAACTGGATTTTTCCGATTATTTGTCGTTACTTGGACTTGTGTCTTGCACGTACAGATGTGAGCTCAAGTGACCTGGAGCCAGCTCGCATTGGATTTGTCATACTGGTACTGGATCATCCTGTTATGGCGGTGAGAATCTTCAGTCTTCTTTTTCTTATTGTAGCTATCACAGATGGAACCCTAGTAATTCATCAAACGATTCCCACATAATAGCATCTGATAATTTTTCTGGGAATCTTTGGATCGTTTCCTCTTCTCATTCTCCCTCATCCCGTTTATAGGGAGGTTTCGCTCTGCGTAGTTACGTATGAAAATAACGTAGGAACTGCACGTAATTTCATACGTAAAAATCAGCGCAGTTGGGTTTCGCTCTGCGTGATTTCTCCACGACTGCTAAGCATGCCCTGTTGCTTTGGAGACGCGTTGGCTGCATGCGCTCACTGCATGCACCACAAACCGAAACCACGTTTCCATTTTTTGTTTTCCACGTGGTGTACCTTGTATTTTGCGCGGTGTGACCGTTGCCATGGATAAATGCGGAATATGCGAACATACCGGTATTTCAAAAAGTCCTACGGAGGACCCAACATAGGAAAGAGCTTTCCTACGGAAATCTGTAGAGAGATTTACGTGTGAAAGTTGCCCTCGCTCCCCGACGCGTACGACATACGGATTTTTGCACATAATTACATAGAGCAAAACCTCTCTAATGTCTTCAGGGGTTTCTTCCAAGTTTCCAGGATGGGGTCCCATATATACATGTACAGATTGTACGGTCGCAGACATCTCTTCCATCAGCCACACTTCCACGTTCAATACACTGGTCTTGCAAAGGCCGGTGTAGAAAGACAGTGCGGGGAGGGGGGTAGGAGGGATACAGGAGCACAGGTGCATGTCCCAACATCGGGTCCGATTTTACTTCCTCCGCGTCATCGAAATTGTCGCAGTTTGACTTTTGATGTAAAACGCGGTATTTACTCGCCAGCACTCGTACCAGAGGCAAGGAATCGGACATAGGCGATAGTCATCAGTATAGGGTGACGGCAAAGTTCTATTTTCTGTTATTGGAAGCTTGAATTTTTGAACTGGACGCAATTTCTTCGCTGATGTCGCTGCGCTGGTAATTTCGACTCGCTGAGATCAGTCAGGCGTTGCAGCCTGCACATTTCTCGTGCTTATCGCCATTCACTCAAGCCCCATCACTGTTTTACCTTAGCTGGGGTGAGAATGACTTCGTGGAACAAGTGGCAGCGCTTGGAGAAAAATTGAGGGGTCTGCAAACTAAATGCCTGCAACAGCGATAAAATTTGTCGCTCTGGCTGAGACACTCAGTACTAGTACATGATTGTACCTGCAAGAGCCGTGTAGACTCTACACGTAGTGCTAGTGATGCACGCGCAGGTGCCGTACCATGGCATACCAGTGATGCTGAAAAAGAGGGCGCGCTGGACGTGATACTACACTTACCTGCATGAGCCGTAGGCATGCCACGGCTAAAAAAAGTTCATTTCAAGATCGAGGTGATTCCGAGGAGATTCCACCGACAGTAATCAACCGACCTCGCAACGATCGTGTATTCTTACTAGGCTTCGTTGGTGGTGAAGTAGAAATCATCCAGAGCTAGCAGACAACAAGCATAGCAGCTCTTGTCCTGTGGAGAAAGTCAAAGCGTTTGAGATGAGGCGCGACCAACTTTCAACCTTCCTTGAAATATTTCGGAACGATATTTTTGCGTCCATTGACATCAGCGACGACGAGGACTTCATCTCTGCATGAAAACTCTCAGTTCAATTGTCCTGGAACGTTACTCTAGTCTTCAGACTATCATACTGTGTAATAAGTTTTGAATGGCTTAGTTTATGGAGTTGTCAGTAACAAAAGACAAGTCACTAGTCAAACGGCGACAATTTCGATGACGCGGAGGAAGTATTTTTATATTGTGCATGGAACATTCGAATGTACAAGCATGGCAGCGATTAAAGGGGAACTGTTACCAAACTTTCTTTGCCTCTGTAGTTCTGAGGTTGCTCATTCGTCCTCATGTGCCTTACGCAGAAAACCAATGATGGTGCTGTTGAGCAGTTCAATCCCTCCTTGCGATTGGAGACACCAGCTTGAGAAACACTCGACCTCTGGCAGTGTTCAGGATGGGTGGCTATGCGCTGTCTCCGGCTGCTGCATGGACGCCGCTGAGCCCTCGCTTCAGCTCGGAGTCATCACTGGCACCGACATCAAGGATGAAGGGAGCGGCGGCAGACCTGTAGTCAGGCTGGGCAAGCACAGGCGCAGATGACAGGTGTTTCTTCAGAACACAGAAAGCGGCCTGACAAGCAGGACCCCGGGAAAACTTAGCATTCTTCTTGGTGAGTGCCGACGGTGTGGCGGCAGCTTGCGCAAAGTGTGGTACAAACTTCCGGTAGTAACCAGCAAGGCCGAGGAAACCACGCACCGCCGTGTACCCTGAGGCTGGTGTGCTCGACCAACTCGTACTGTGGGTACAGTTCTACGTCATCAGCAGACTCCTCACTGCCCCGCATGAAGTAGTACGACTCCTAAGTGTCTATCCCCATGTTGTGGCCGTCGCCGAAATCAGGTCCTGCTTTGCCTCTACCGTAACTAGACCCAAGTACAATGTAGTGTGCACCGGCATCTCCAGTCACTGTGACTGGGGGCCGATACGTCAATAGCAGAAGTGTATCAATAGAACCAAGAGTACATAACCAAGAGTGTGCAACTGCCTGCACAACCTCTATGCTGTGCTGCGACGGCAGAACTTCACATCATGTGACATGGTTCAAAAGGTTATGCTGGCAAACAGTGCAAAGTGACCACAAGAGAGTTGTACCCAAAGCTGGGCTGCGTACAACCCAGTATCTATCATGCACTAGAGTGCACGGGTTCATCACGTGATGTGAAGTTCTGTCGTCGCAGACCCCATAGCTGGAGTTGCACACTCTTGGGTTATGTACTCTTGATAGAACCTAGGTTATAGACACCATAGCTAACAGTATAGTGCAGTACACCAAATAGTGGCATACTGCGTATGGCGGGTGTAGCTATTCGTGGCCTTCGGGCCGAGACCATGTTTGTCCTGTACACAATCGATTATAAAATAGTTAAAATACCCCTGTGTTAAGTACTGGACAGTGCATATACTGACATCACAGTTGTTACGGAATCACAGCCATTCCGTTCCCCGGGACGCAGGACACAAAGGACAAGACTTGTTTGTTACATTATTTATATTGACAAGACGGAAAAGCAAACTGCTCTGACAGGGACGAACAAGAAGACTGACAAAAGGACACTCGACTACAAAATCGCGCATGCTCATATCACACATGCACGCGACTAGACGAGACAGTTTGGGGAATGCCATCACACAGGAAAACAACACATCATTTCACAACACCTGCCCCCTTGATGACATTCCACAAAATAATAAACCGACACCACGTTCCACATGCACAACAGCAAAAGGAACCACAGCAAAACAGAAAAACCAAAACCAACCAGCTTACGTTGTAGCACAACAAGCTAACAACAAGCCAACAGAACCCAGAGACAACACTCTAAAGAAAAACGGGCCACGACACAGGGCCAAACAAAAACCTAGAGCCGACGCTCTATAGTCAGGCCACGACACAGGGCCAAACGAAAACCTAGAGCCGACGCTCTACAAACCAGGCCACGACACAGGGCCAAACAAAAACCACAAGAGCTGATGCTCTATTCACAGGCACACAAGGCCAACCGAAACACGAGAGCCGAAGCTCTCAAATAATAATACCATGCGCGCAGCAGCGCAAAATAAATCTAAAACACAAAACCATGGAGAACAACAGAACGAATAGAAGAGCAAGAGAACGACAACAACCAAACTGAAACAACACAGCAACAAGCAACGAACTGAACGGCAAGAGAAACACAATCAGACCACACAGCGAGCAAGACAACAACAAGACGAACAACAAGGACGACACACAGTCAGTGATGCCAGACTCGTCCACTGGCCTCTGGCGAGCCACGGCCACACGCTCCATCGCGGTTCCTGCCGTCCCAGGCTCCAGTCCACAGTTTTAGTCCACCACCTTCTCTGCCTCCTCTCCATTGTCTTCCGCTCCCACCAGCTCCTTATCTCCTCCGCTCCCACGCTCTGTTTACTTCAAAGTAACAGTTACTTTGTTGTTGACGACGACGAACAGACTCACTACAAACTAACTCATCCTCTGCGTCCCGGGTTTCGGCTCCGCGTTGTTACGGAATCACAGCCATTCCGTTCCCCGGGACGCAGGACACAAAGGACAAGACTTGTTTGTGACATTATTTATATTGACAAGACGGAAAAGCAAACTGCTCTGACAGGGATGAACAAGAAGACTGACAAAAGGACTCTCGACTACAAAATCACACATGCTCATATCACACATGCACGCGACTAGACGAGACAGTTTGGGGAATGCCATCACACAGGAAAACAACACACCATTTCACAACACAGTACAGCAGTTGAGTAGATGCTTTCTCTTTTCTCTATCTTCTTTGATAACCGCAATCAATAAGACAAGCTGAATCGACATTTGTGTATACTTTATTCATGCAATGTAAAACGGTGGAGACAATGTGCAATAAAACGATGAAAATAGGAAGAAATAGTGTAGAGAAAAATTAGGATTCAAACATGTTTTCGTACACCACTCATCAGGAATCGTCGTTGTACTAAAGGACACTGAAACAAAATCTATTTCCTTTTTTTTATACATTTCAGCTCCAGCTTGTCCAGAGTCTGTTTGATCCATTGCACTATTTTGTGCTGCATGTCGACAGCCGTGCCACAACTATACGCCACGTAAGTGAATGAAAATCTGACGAACTGACTTCATGTACTGACATCCAAAAGCTGTGTGACCTCTAGGATAGCTGCCCATTCGTTTTGTGGGAGAACTAGATCTCTCTCTCTCTCTCTCTCTCTCTCTCTCTCTCTCTCTCTCTCTCTCTCTCTCTCTCTCTCTCTCTCTCTCTCTCTCTCTCTCTCTCTCTCTCTCTCTCTCTCTCTCTCTCGCACGCACGCACGCACGCACGCACGCACGCACGCACGCACGCACGCACGCACGCACGCACGCACACACACACACACACACCTTTCTGCCTTCCTTCTTCCACTGCCATGACTGGCTACAGCGTCACGGCAGGTGACCCGCCATCCCTGTCGATCCTGGACGGTGTCACCAAGCTGCTCCAGAGGAACGCCAACAGCCGCCAAGTCGCACCTTGCGGATTCCTTCCAACGCTTGCGGGGTCCTTGCAGTGGACGTTTGGACGGTAACACGCCGCACAGCAGCTGATGAGGGACACGATCTGGCATGCGGGATGCGTGGCCAAGCCATCGAAGTCGGCGGACTCTGATTTTATACGTGACCTCCAGAGCGCCCCACTTCCTACGAACCTGGAGAGAGGAGATGTGCTCCTCTATCTGCCGACCACGATTCACCTTGAGGATGGAACGCACACGCTGCAGATGATAGGACTCCAGGCGCCGGACATCATGCTGCGTGACGGTCCAACTCGCCGATCCATAAAGGATGGCCAGGACAGTCACTCAATATACAATGCGTTTTAATGGCGATGCTGAAATCATCATTGTTGGACACCGACTCCCGCAGTGTACAGAATGCACCCGATGCAGCAGCGACTCGCCAACACACACACACACACACACACACACACACACACACACACACACACACACACACACACACACACACACACACACACACACACACACACATCCACATACATGCACACACATTGTCATGAGTGGAAAACGGTGTGTGGTTTGTGTTCTGGTAGTGTAGCCGTGTGCATGTTTGATACTGATGGCTAGGTCATCCGATAATCGAGATCCATACGATTTTGACACACATGCACATACACACGCATATCTATTGCTCCAGCCTCTGGCTGTGTACAACAGGTGTTAAAAAGCAAGACTTTTAAGGGACTTGGAAACATCGGTATCCGCTAACTGAATGCATACTGTGCCTGAAGATTGTTTTGTACAAGCACCTGAAAGTGAAATTGCAGGGCTTTGTTTTGTTTAATATAAGAATTAGTTAAAATTACGAAAAGACACATGAGTTACGAGTTATAAGTAACTGTCCACAACTGTAACAAGATAATCTCCGGTCAGAAAGTGTGGTAAATAACCACAAAACCCATGTGTCCTTTCATATCTTTACATTTGACTATTGGCTCCGTATCCGAGTGTAATTTTGTTTTGTTCTTTTAATTTCACATTTTTTCTCTTTTGTGCTCTCAGCTTTTGATGAAGTCCATCATGTCGGACTACATTCGTAAAGGATACAACAATGTCCATGTCCTGCCATTGAAAAGGTACTCTCTTGTACATGTACATGTACCCGTTTGGGAAATATCGATCACCTATTGTTTTTGAATGAACCAGTTTGCCCGGCTCTGTTTTATTCAGCCAGTAATGCATACCATAGGATGGGTCTTTCGGAATTAACTTTCTTTCTGAAAAAAAATGTTGCGATTTGGGGGGGGGGGGGGGCTTCAAGTGTTGTTCACTTTGAAGGAGGTTGGAGATAGTTTGGGCCAAGTTTTATTAATGTGATAATACTCATAAAAAGGACACACTTCAGGCTCATTACAAACATCTTGAAAGTTTTTGTCTTCACAAGTATACTTTCAAGCCTTCTCGTCAGGTGAAATACAGGCAAGGGAAAAGGAACAGGAACAGTGGATTAAATACAATAAGAAGGTGGTAAAACAGTGCAAAAAAAGAAGGTAGCTAAAGTAAACAGCGAAAATTGCAATAATGACACAAAGGTGCAAATGCGAGAAAACTCAATAAGCGTGACATGTAGTGCGACAGCAAGAGACCACTGGACATACATGTAACTAACGAGGTTTTGACGACCTACCTAACAGCCTTAGTGTGAATTTGATTTGCTTCTGCTTGCAAAGGTTGGGTTTCTTTGTGTGGATGTATACGGCTTCCAAAACATTCAGCAATCTAGCACTGCGTACACGTGACACAATCGAAAAACAATCATCTGAATACACAGCACGACAATCAGGATGCTCAAACAAATGACTAGCAATGGACGACTCATACGTATCAGAACTAAAATCAGAACAATCAGCATGTGCGGTGGACACATCCGATATAACATGGCTAGTCGAGTGGACCCTAGCCATTGCCTCTGTCTGTGCTTTAGTCGCTGCCATCGCCGTCGTCGCCGATCTTGTCATTCTTCTGGTTGATGCGGTTCCTGTCACTGCCACGCCAGTAGGTGTTTTGTCCGGTTGTTTTTCTGGTGGTCTAGTTAATTGTGAGGTGACGTTGCTTGGTGTTGATGCCGCTGCGTTAGACCATCTTGTACCAGGATGATTCTTTGCTGGACGTCCCCTCCGTGGTCGAGTGGATCGTGCGTGTTGTGGTATAAGGTGTAGCGGTGCGTGTTGTCGGATGCGCGCGTCCAGATGTTGAAGAGTCCTACCTACATATCGGCTCTCACATTGCCCACACTCGAAGTGATAAATCAACTTGGATAATTGGCCTGTAGGTAGGACGTCCTTCCTGGTCGAGTGGATCGTGCGTGTTGTGGAATAAGGTGTAGCGGTGCGTGTTGTCGGATGCGTGCGTCCAGATGTTGAAGAGTCCTATCTACATATCGGCTCTCACATTGCCGACACTCGAAGTGATAAATCAACTTGGATAATTGGCCTGTAGGTAGGACGTCCTTCCTGGTCGAGTGGATCGACATGATCATTTACGAGCATGCGCATATGACAAGAGAGTGAAGACTTCAGACCGTGCATGACGTAAGATGACGTAATGCAAGACATAACACCACCGTAGTGGTTTTCCAGAAATGAGTAGAAGCAAAAAACCACACTCGCAGCCACACAATAGGTAAATAGCTGAAAAACATCTAAGTCCATCAAAGAACCGCCAGCAAGCGGGAGAAAAAGGCCGTAAAATCAAGTGAAAAAGCATGGCCAGTTGTGAGCATGGGTGACTGGGCAGCAGGGGAGCGCCTGAAAACAATGACTCCCTACATTCCTAGCCGCGACCGCTCAACCGGGCTAGAGGAAAAACACGCCTTTCGGCCAAAAAACCTTTCTATTTCATTAATTCCTGCCCCGCTGCCAGTCGGACCCAAGAATAGAGACAGCAAGAAATGGTATGTAATAACCGGTGTATGTCATAATCATAAGCCACACACATTGGCATAGATTGTCAAGAAGAACAGCGGAAGACCCCCATGAAACCAGGGTGGGTGGGCGGGCAACTTCAACTACCACGAGGAAAAAACAAAGACCACGATGGCAGGTTCAACAGAGTTGCGCAGAACAAGAGCAAACGCACGAATATATTTGTGCGTGAAAAATACGTTTTTTGCGCCCTTTCGCTACGCTCAGCCGTGAAAAAACAAAAGTTCTTTTTTAATCGGCCAAAATAAGCGAATTGCTAGTACATGTAGGGAGAAAGTCGTAGAACTACACTGTACTCCACCGTTGTTTTATTGGGCCAAGAGGTACCGTATTTCCCTGATTTTACATCGCACGCCCGTCTTCAGGTTTGAGCCATATTGCTTCAGTACATTCACATAAGAAAGAAGTCACACTCGATTGTAAGTCGCACCGCTTCTTTGCTCTTGAAGTTTAGCCTGAAAAGGTGTGACTTATATTCGGGGAAACACGGTACGACTGTCGCTAAGCCTGCTTCTCTCTGCTTGTGTTTGTGTGAATGCATGTGTGTGTGTGTGCACGTGTGTGCACGTGTGTGTGTGTGTGTGTGTGTGTGTGTGTGTGAGTGTGTATGTCTGTGCATGCATGTGTGTATGTGTATGCGTGTCCATGGACGTGTGTGTGTGTGTGTGTGTGTGTTTCGTGTAAGCGTAGGTCGGTTGTAACATCACCTGCATCGTTCAGTATAGTCCAGGCTCAGCTTCTTGTAAGTATGCAGTGTAGCAGTACATGTATTTCTACACAGTAGAAACACTACCCTGCCAGTGAACAGTAGATAAAACTACAGCTCCTGGGTGTAACTAGCACTGTAGTTGTGAACAGCATTCACTGCCAGCACCCCATGCTACTCACAATCTCCTCACATTGGATTTCCCTGTCGCCCAACTTCACTTTGGCCTTGCGTCTCACCGCCACTGCCACTGCCATTTGTCACTAACTGCAACTGCCATTCCTATGCCTAGGCCACCGAGGAGCTGTTGAGCATGGGCCATTGGGACTTTGCCGTCGTATCTCTCTCCAAGTCAGACATGTCTCTACGTACAGCCGGTGATCTGGCTGCTATGCTGGCTGCATACAAAGGTATATTTCCCTGTACACATCTCCAGACAGTGTTCCCATGCGAATAGAATATTTGTGATCATTCATTTCTACTGTGGAAGTACACATGTTGTCAGCGAATTTTCTTGTACGAACTAGGGGTAGCGACATTGGCAACAAATCACCCGAAAAGCCCTTTTTTGTGCACAGCAGTTCTCCCATTCCGATTTTTGGAATGTCGTAGACAATGTGGAACATTGGCAGGTGGTGGGTTTGGTGATTTGTCTTTGCAACATTTTACACTTTCTGGATTGATGCTATAGCAGCATTTGTCAATCACAGTGCATAATTATAGTTGTATTGTTGCAGCCATTCGTCATTATTGTGCTCTCGAACACACTCTTCTGTTGTACACACCATAGGTTCTAACTTCTTGCATGTGTCACGTCTTTGGAATAAACGAGAGCACAAATCCGACCTGTATGCTTGGTGAGTGGATGCAGTCACATGTCCAACCTGTATACTTGGCGAGTGTATACCGTATTTGCTGGAGTGTAGTGTGCACCTTAGATGTGCTATTCAGGGTCAAATTCACGGGTGCACACAATGCTCTGAATATGTTGGTTACTGGTACGAAATGTAGCAAGAAGGACCCATAAGTGTGTGTGATCCCCGGTGGCCTAATCCGTAGGGCACTGTCCCGGAAAGACAGGGGTGCTGGGTTCGAATCCCGCTCGTGGATCCTTCTTTTGCAACAGAAATATTTTATTCTGTACCACTGCCGTTTTTAAATATGAAGAAAAACATCACTGATCAACAAACAGGAACATGGCAAATAGGGCTCGAAATGATAAAGGCACAGTCTCCAATAAAGGCATGGGTCGCAGGGTGGCTGAAAAATGAGACGTGTGCTTTTATTAGAGAAAATGTGGTAGTTGATTCCCTGTGTTGTCATAAGTTGGTTTGGATGACTTGCCTTTCTTGGTACTTTGCAGGCATCAGTGTCGACAACATGATTTTGTCTACAACGTGACACGGCGCGCTTCTCCCAACCTCGATATCGCTAGTCATGGTCAAGTGGCAGTCATAAGCAGGTGAGCTAGCTGCTGAGATACAGCATGATTGTCCATTATAGCTGGTGATGTGTACTGACACAAACAGGTTGGTAGGGTAGCAGCAGCAGCATGCAGATAGTATTCAGAACACAGTCAATGTTGCGAATAACGACCCTCGCCCGATCGTCCATGAGAACAGTGTGGTTATTCACGAGTTGTCGTTGTTCTTGAGGTTGAAAGTATGCAGTGAAATATTTGGTCACTAGGTCTGAAGATTGTGTCGCTATTCGCCAATTGTTGTTATTCACGAAGTTGACTACCGGTATATATTGAACCTTGCAAGGGTCTGTCAAATAGAAAAATAATCAATGCTTGTCAATTTTTCCAATTTTGAAAACTCGGCCTCCAGTCGAGTCTCACGTGAGCCGTGAATTTTGTTCTTCTTTTTTCCATCAATTCAGCGTCGTATATTATGTAGCACCAGATACCCTCAGTAGGTTCTGGAGCGCTTGCATTTCTCTCACTCTATCCTCTGGCTGCTCACACCATGATGTAACACTTTTTGATTTTTCTCCTTTGCTTTGTGAAGAGAGGCAGCAGAGATTGTTGTGAAGGGAGTTCCCCGTTCACTGAGCGATGCTGCACGTTTGCAGTTCACCCTGGAGACCAGCCTGAACCCTGCAGATGTCTACATCGCCACAGTACTGATGAATTCCAGACTTAGGTGAGATGAAGAGCCGCATGTTGGTGTATTGGTATTGGTGGGCTGTAGATTCTCTGCACAGCTGTACTACCAGTGCTGAGAGTCGCGCTCACACCCCTGTCTGGCAATTTCTTCATGTCTCACCCCCAAGACGAAGTATACAGTCCAGTCATACTGGCCGAAACTTTAATAAAAAAATCTTCACAGCAACTAACATGGTGGTCCAATAGGCTTATGATAGTGCAGGGTAGCACACCGATTAGAAGTGATCGGCAGGCTGGTAAATAGTACATGTATGCATGACTGACTATAGGCTTTGCAGATAGTGCATAAATTATGGAGCAGGTGGTCAGTAAAGACTTGAACGGCCTCCCATTGTACAGGGAATGACACATCTCTGTTGCTATGGTATGCCCCACTCAACTCGTCACCTAACAATATGGCGACATTCGAAAATTTCACCTAAGGTCCATTTACTGAGATCATGGCTCAGATACCGTATTTCCGCAAATAAAAGACCGTCCTCGTATACAACGCCTTCCTCGAATACAAGGCCGGGGCAGGGGGCGATTGAAAAAAAATACGACCGTCTCCGATTAGAAGACCGGGCCTACTAAATGAGTCTTACGACGATAGAAGACTGTGCTCAAACCGTGTAGAAGAAAATGGAAGAACGGGGGTAAAACTGTGTGGCGAAAAATAGAAGACCGGGGTCAAACTGGGTTGAAAGAATAAAAGACCGTCCTCGAATACAAGACCGTCCTCAATTATAAGGCCGGTTTAGGACGAGTTTGAAAAAATAGTAGACCGGCCTACTATTTGCGGAAATACAGTATTATTGATGTGCAGACTGTGTGGTGAACATCGGTACAGGAGTAGAGATAACCAAAATGACCCACCAACCAATATACTCTAGAAAATGGCTGCCAATCTGTTCAATTGGGGCTTGTACCATGTCTGTTTCAGGCTTTTGGCATGCGGGTTGTAAGAGATAAAAGATACTCGAATGCTCGAATATTTGTAGGGGAAGTCGTGATCAGAGTACTGCGGCTTACCATTGACGGGAAAGAAATGGTTGAGCTGATGATATCGGGACACTGCATGGACACCTACATTCACTTTGTTCATATCATCGCAAGACAGCTGGACACATTCTGCTTCAAAATGCTGGCAGACTTCTTTCTTATACTTCACCTGCGCTAATGCAAAGTGACCATCCATATGTTCCTTTCGGAGGCTGTTGTCTTTTCCTGGAACCCTACTCTGCACAAGAGCTGTGTAGCGAGCTGCATTTCCTGGTGCCTCAGCGTGGTGCTACCATGAGCTGATTCAAAGTACTGCGTGAAATTGACTTGATGTTGGGGATCATCTGTTGCAATACTGGATTTGAGGCATGGCAGCAAGCTTGCTGAAGTCCTCAGCTTCTCCATCTTCTGGGCTAGACTTTTCACATCGCCAGTTGTCAACAAGCTTGCCTGTGGCACCTTGATACTGCTTATTTCAACAACTACAGGCGCTATGTCCTTCAATTCTTCCTCAGCTTTGGCTATTGCACTTGATATCTTCGAAGTCTTACGTTTCCTGTTGCTCACCATGCGCTTGTAGCAATTGTGTTGGTTACGGTACTGCAGCCGCAAGTCACTCACCTCCGTGAAAAGTTGCATGATGGATGTCTTGCCCTTCACATCTTTGGTCAGGAAATCATCCCGGTCGATCTGGAAGAACTCTAACAACTTCCTGGCACTGGAGCTTTCCGACGCGGTAGCAGATACAGATGCAGACGATGTCGCTGCTGCGGGTGAATTTTGACCAGTCCGTGCTCGAAATGGATCCACTGGCTTGACGAATGGCTCAGCCAGCTTTCTCCCATCGTCAGTCACAGCATTACTTCTCTGCAGCGAGCTTTTGACCGCTGCCTCATCATTCTTATACAGCAAGTGCCACTCCTGCTGAGCGCGATCCAAAAAAGTCTGCCTGTTGCTCTCCTTCGCAGTCTTCCACAGAGCTTTGGTTACTCGGTAGTAATTCGTATCGGGAGCAGTTCCAGAGGAGAAGAATGGGACCTTGCCTTTCTTCGTGCCGAATAGAGTCGCTTGAGTCAGCTTCTTTCCAGACATATCGAAAATCGCTCAAAACAGGCACTACGTTAGTCACAAAAGAAATTTGCCTTGCACAACGCAGAAAGCAGCAACACAGTTGAATCGAAGCACTATAACGACAAGCTCTCTGGCTTGGAATCAGAGTATTTTACTACATTGTAGTCCCTGCTTGCACCGAAATCAGAAGTCCGCAAGCCTCCACGTGCAGTGCGTAGATCTAGTACTAGTAGGAATCGGCTAGCTCGCCGAATCGAGAACATTTTGTTCTGAAAGAGTAATCCGAACCCATTTCCGACTGGAAAGGAGCAACCACATACCCTTGTCAAGTGTTTTGCCCGCGCAGGTACCGTGTGCACGCACTACACAAGTCATGTATGCAAGTAGCCTGCACTGTACTGCACTGCACTGTACTGTACTGCACTGCACTGCACTGTACTGTAGTGTGTACTACAGTTAAACCTGGTTTAAGCGACCACCCCACGGTGCAAGCAAAAGCGGTCGTTAAAGCCAGGTGGTCTTTAGAACCAGGTCCCACAGTGTCTGTGTAGAACTGTCGGTGCATGGAAAACGGTCGTTAAGAGCAAGTGGTCGCTAAACCCAGAGGTCCCTTACACTAGGTGTACGTGTACATGCAATCATGTACACGTACGTGTACGACAGACTTCACGCGTACCGCCTTTCTGCGCTGTACTTGACATGGTGTCAATGTTTTCTGAAACGAAACTGGTCAACCCCCTCCCACCCCCTAACGAAATTATTAATTTTCGTTTCGTAAAAAAAAGTTTGATAATTACGGACGGCCCCTTACAAGACATTAGTAGACAACGATCCAAAATCCTCTGGCGCCTGAAACGCGTAAATTCAAGTCCGGATAGTGGATGTTACTCGTAATACAAGACAAAAAATTGAAACCCCGGGGCTGTCTACTAACAAGGGTAGACCTGTATGCATGTGTTTATTTCCATATAGTGCAACCATGCATGACACCAAGGTGATGATTGTCAAGTCTGCTAGTAGTGCTGCCACTACCGCAGTGAATGTTGCTGCAACTCAGTGGTGTGCTGGCCTGAAGGAAGCCGATATCTGCTTGCCAGTAAGTTGTGTGATGTGTCCGTATTTTGTTCATCCTGTACTGTGTATTTCTCGTGCATGGCTATGTGTGTGTGTGTGTGTGTGTGTGTGTGTGTGTCTGGGAAAGCCATGCATGTGTGTTTGCCCGAGTCGCTCTTTCTTTGTGCATTGGTACATGCTGGTGTATCTCAACTACAAGTAATGTGTTTCTGATATACAACCATAGTATGTTCTTGTGTCTGTTGTATTCAGGAGGCGAGCACGTTTACTGCCATGGATGTACCGTACCTGCGTCGCATGTCCCTGGAGAGCATGTTTGCGGGGTAATGTTGCCATGTGTTGTGTTTGCTGATGCTATTGTATGACAAGACATTGTTGTTCTGTTCTGTACTGTATTGGGCAAAAGCCTTGATACCAAGTCTGGCATGTTTAGATAACTATGTGCTGCCTAAACTGCATGCAGCCCTGCGAGGCAGCCAGCACTTTATTGTCAACGGTGTATTCCCCCAGCGCATGCACACACCACCTGATACGAGGTCGTCAACCGCAGCACAGACCTTGACATTCTCAGCCCCCTGTAACGTATTGGCATCTGCAGTTTGGCTGTTGGCAAAGTGCTGGAGTAGAGGTTATGCAGCAGTTGCCCTTAGGCTATGACGTAATGATGTACATGTTCTCAGATCCTGCAAGGTATCCTCAGTGTAGTATGCTGCTATGATGACTTTCTCATCACCGGAGCAACCCCAGCAACGCCTACGCTCGTACTTTGAGCTCTGGAGCGATTCACCGGATTTGGTGTACGTCTGCGTCTCGAGAAATGTGTGCTCAGCGTTGACCAGGTCCGCTAACTGTTATCTCGGTTTCACCTTGGCAGAAGGTAATTTAACCCTTTGTGTACCAGCCCCATCTCGAACCGTACCATATGGTACGGTTCGCTGCACTCCAATCAAGCGCGCCGTTCCCTGCCGCCGTAGCTCCGATCGAGCCGCGGTTTTTGCGCTCGACAGCTGAGATCCCACTGAAAATTTTGATGTATGATATGGGTAGGCTGCCATTTGAAAGTATGGAGAACGAACGCGTTCAAAAGTATGCTTTTCAGCGCAAACAATTGTCGCTGTTTCGATCGTGTTCTCGCTCAGTTTCTCTGCTTGTAGCGAAGATGTAGCTTGTTCTAGGTCATGTCGACGTCTTCTAGATGTGGTGGACGATTGGAGAGATCGGCTGTGGCGATATCATCGCGGAATGCGACTCGAAATTGAAAATTTGTATCGCTTATCCCATCGCAGTATTCGCTCTCAAAACAGGAGCGAGAGGGAGGGCAGCGATGGCCTAAAATCGTCAAGGCAGGCGTAATTCACCAGCCAGCGACTGCTTCTTGTTTTCTCTTTCACTTACCTTACGCTGGATGTGAGTAGATGAAGAAAAATATAGATTTCGAATCTGACACAAGAATTCAAAATTTGCAATTTTGAACCAATTGTTTTACCTCAAATGTTTGACAATATGACCATATCCCTGGTATGTTGTTGCTCTTCATGCACTGAGACAACGCTTATGAGGTTGTTTTGTCCCTATGTTCCCAGTACATGAGCACAAGCTAATTCTCAGTCTATTTGTTTGTGATACCCTGGTTGGTCAGAAATATGCACAATTGGCGCGTATCTTTGGTATTCCACCTATGGCCTTCATATACTACTGCATGCTGTACCAATATCCATGCTTACCTGGGTGCAGTGATACATATGGAGTCAGGAAAACACAACTTGCATATACAAAAGTCGTCTAGATTTCATACCATGGTTGCTTCTTTCGCTGCGATAGCCCCTTACATACATTAGATGGCTGGTACATAAAGGGTTAAACCAATGGTGACAAGGTTGCTGGCATTGTTGACGCACCGCCACCGAAAGACCAGACAGCTCTGCAGTCAGAGGGTACCGGGTACCTCTGCGACTTTGTGAAGAGACTTGTCAGTTTGAGGATACTACTGTGCTAGTTAGTGAGTTCTGATCATGATGGGTGTACTTTGCAGCGCCTCAAATCAAGCAGCCTTTGACACCCTGTACCTATGCAACCCGACTCAGCTCATGCGTCCACCATGCAACTTGCAGCATAAGTTATGTCTCGAGTGAGTGGTCATACTTTACTGATCCGCACTGCATGCAAACACAATGAATAGAATTGGCGGACAGGGATGTATAGTGTAGTGCAGTGAATGTCTGCATCTTTTTTTTTCTATTGCTACCCTGCAGGCACTTTGAGATTGATGCCGATGATGCGGTCAGAGGAGCTCTGTCGCTGTGGGTGAACGTGGATCTTGCTAAACACACCAAGAAGATGTATCAGAGTGACACAACAGCAAGGTAGCGGTGCTTGTTTGGCCTGGCTGTGTGCATGGCTGCCTCCTGCCAATAATGGCAATATCACTGAAATGCGTAACTTGAAATTGAAGATTTTCCAATAATACTTGTCAGAGGGAGTCAATGTTTTTAAAGCTCATCGAGCAGCACGACAGGCAAATTTGAGCAAATGTGTACCCTCTCTCTCTCTCTTGCACATCCGCTGCAATACCATAACGGTATGCACTCTTGCACCGGTCAAGATGTACTGATAGTATCTGATACACACCTTTTGTTGGTGCATTCCATTTTCTTTCTGTGTACCGCATGTTCATGGGTTGTGTTGTGCTTTTTGTATGTGATGGCCGGAACATAGGATAATGGCGACAATGCTTATGAAGGAACTTCTCGGTGAGGACTGGAGAGCTGAAGCTAAGTGAGTACAGTAGGACATCTGTTCAATCCCTAATGTTGCAATTTCTGAGACAAGCAGACCTTACTGTTTTGTAGTGTGCGGTGGGTGGGTGTGGTCGGTTGGTTGGCAGGGCAAGTGGTTGGATGGATGAATGTCAGTGTATGTGTGTGTGGGGGGGGGGGGGGGGATCTGTGTGCCTGTTTCTGTGCTTATGTGTAATTATGTGCGTTGGTGTGTGCATATTCTTTCACTTCGTCTGTAGTTTGTCAAGAATCTCGTCCATGTCTGCTCTACCTAAGCTGAAAGCTGGCTTGCCATGCTGTCGTGAAGATAGTTTTGTCGTGCAAACCGGCTTAGTGAACCAAGTCCTATACCTAGTTGAATTTACAGTGGTGAGTTTGTAACCTTGGCCTGAGGTTACAATTACATTCACAGGAGCATAAACTCCCCAGCCCCCAGCCAGGCACCAGTTCCAACCATGACAAGACGTTGAGATCAAAACTGCAACTCTCAAGTCAAAACATTCTCTCCAAGCAAAAGGAAAACCAGCATCATAACAGAGCGAGCCAACGAAAAGGATACGCATGCGTGTGTGCCTGTGAGTGTGTACGAATGACGTATGCATACATGTCATGAAGTAGAGTCACATTCATAGCTACAATCAAGAGTGGAAATATTACTACGCCAAACGGAACATGTGCAACATGTTACACCTCCCCCCTCGTTACAGAGGGAACGATAGTGACCGAAAGTTACAAAGCTTAGAGCATATCCGTGATAGCTTTCTACATGAGAAAATTAAATACTGGAAAGTGAAATTTAATAGTGTGGCGCAAGTATGGTACAAGTGTAGTTAATCGGTGTGAGGTATAATGGAAAGTTTAGAAACTACTAATGCTATGTTACTATAATGTAAGTGGACTGTGAAACAGCAAGTGAAATGCTCGACATTATTCATACTAACCTAACAACAGGTAGGACTGTGTGAAATATGTGTATTTCTGAACTATGAATGTACAATTTCTCAATAATCACACTGTACAGTCATAGACACTCACTGAGCAAACCTTGCTGGCGGCTGAATGTTTGCACGGTTCCGCAGATCATAGTGGTGCACAACAGGCACAGGTGCATGATTCAGTGCTGCGGCTGGTGGCGGCACCGGCGCAGCAGCAATTACTGGTGCAGGTGGCGCCTGCACTGGAGCCGGGATTGGTACTGGTTGCATATTATACTCAACATCAGGCATGTAGTCGGCAATAGAAGTCGGAGGCGAGTTCGGTACGAGCTCATTGGCACTTGCAGGCAGATCAGAGCCAGTCCAAGCCTTCAGACGGTCAACGTGAACAGTCTGGGTCGTGCCGGATTTGTCAGCTATCCGAAGTACTACATCGTCAACACGTTCTAGCACAGTGTACGGGCCTTTCCAAGGTCGATGGAATTTGGAAGTCGTACCTGGTTTGACGGCAGGAGAATGCAACCGAACCATGTCACCAACGTTGAGTTTCGGTTGTTTAGCGTGCTTGTCATAGTGGGCCTTCTGCCGTCGTTGAGCTGTTGCTCCAGCATCACGGGCATGCGTGAACGCTCGTTGTAGATTGCGCCGTAAGTTGATAACATACGTGTTCACATGGGAGCGCTCAGAGTCTGGTGACTGAAACATCACATCAACAGGCAGGTGTATTTCATGACCTAACATGAGCATCGCTGGCGTCTCCTTGGTCGAGGAGTGCACACTAGACCGGTAGGCAAGCAGACAACGTTGCAGATGACGGTCCCAAGTGGTGTGGTGGTCGTCGACGTGAGCAGCCAGCATTTGCTCAAGTGTGCGATTCATCCTCTCGACTAAGCCGTCACTCTGGGGCCGGTATGCTGTTGTACGTGACTTTCTGATATCCAACAACTGACAGATCTGCTGGAATAACCTCGACTCAAATTGCGCACCACGGTCAGAGTGCAGCTGGTATGGAATACCATAACGACAGAAGAAGCCGTCAACAAGGACATGTGCTACTGTTTCAGCAGTAATATTCGGTACAGGAAACGCTTCTGGCCACTTAGTGAAATAGTCACAAATGACGACTAAATACTTGTTACCGCTAGGCGTAGTAGGCAGTGGGCCCATAATATCAATAGCAACTTTCTCTAGCGGGAATGATGGGCGGTCTTGGACAAGCGGGGCTTTGGCCTTTGGTAGCGGGGCTTTGCGGCTCTCACAAATATCACATGCTTGGCAAAATTCACTAACTGCAGACGACATGAAGGGCCAATAACACCGCTTGCGAAGCTTGTCTTGTGTTCGCTCAATACCTAAGTGGCTTCCAGAGACATCAGCATGCACAGACTGAAGCATGCGGGATTGCAGAGACTGTGGTACAACAAACTGTAGGTACGGTGTGTCGCTATTCTCGGGGTGGTAAACCCGGTACAACACTCCATTAACCAGTCTAAGACGCTTCCACTGGCTCCATAATCGTATCAATGCAATAGACGCACCGTGCATGGCAGAATCACTACGCAGGGGCCTGTCAAGTAATGCCTCCTGCCAGCCGATCATTGTACTCACATCTGCATCTTCTAATTGAGCTGTGCGCAACTCTTCAACAGTGAAAGACTCACACCAATTGGGTGGCGACACTTCAGCATTGACTGTTACAGAATTACTATCAGGACTAGCGCTAGACAGGTGATTGACAACAGTAGTCTGCTCACTTACTCTCTGCTCGGGCGTTGGCGTCGGTGAGGTTGCGGTAGTCGGGCCGTGGCAGCGGAGTCTTGACAAGGCGTCTGCATTGACATGCTGCTTCCCGGGCCGATGTGTGACGACGTAGTCGAAGACGGCCAAACGCTCAATCCACCGGGCTAGAAGACCGTCCACTTCCCGGAATGAATGTAGCCAGATGAGCGCTTTGTGATC